ACACACACACACACACACACACACATTTATAATATAATATAAAATTAGATTTTTAAATTAAACATATTATTGAAGCTTATATTATATAGAAATACTGATTCAATAAAAAGATAAATTAATTAATAACGTAAATTAAAGATAATAGAAATATAAATAGAAATAGAAATATATTTTAACTTTTATGTTATAGAAAAATATCAATGAGATTTTTTGTTAGCAGCATACCGTAGTACTCTTAAATGGTGTTCCACAATTATTGCCAATCGACGTTGAACCGTGTCAAACTGTTTTTGATCATACACCAAGCGATCCAACCATCTCATCAGCACACTCAATTGACCGCACGCATGCATCGCAAATACTGCCGCGAGACTACAAGCGCTAACTGTCACGGAATTGACAACGATGCTAGATATGAGTTGCAATACTAACGCGATTTCGCCTTCTGGACTATATCTAATATCCACAAATTTGCTGTAAGAGGGACATGGTAGCACATGTACCATCACACTTTTGTTGCCAATATAGGCAATCGTTGGCGTGATACCTTGCAGAAGGCTATGGGAGAATACGCCGCTGTGCATAAAAACTGCACACAAACCAGCGACAAACCTGCCAAACTTGGCGTATTTTAGCATTACTTGTCGGTCTTCGAATTCCGTCACTGTTCGCCAATCAGTTTTCATATGCTGCATGCAACGATGTATTTCGCGACTACGAAACAATAACGAAAAGTAATTCATGCCACCCATGCACCAATGACTCAATGGCCCCACGGCTTTCAATTTCATATGAACGTCGGTCTCCTCGAACAGAATGTTCAAGATGCACGGCACAACTGCAAAGGCTATCAGGGAATAGCAAATAAATATTTGTATCGTTGACCGCACTTTTTCTCCGACTGTTGTAGTGGCTGATCTCGGCCAAGCACCTACTGACTTCAGGAACCAACGATTCAACTGAAGACTATAATCACTCGCATCCTGCTGCGAGACCGCGGGTTGTACACGTTTGCCAGTGACCATGATCACTCGACGCAAGTGCAAATGCTACTGAATGGATTATTAGACGCTGCGTGCAGACAGGAAATGGCGCTTGCGCCTACGAGAGGTCTATGTTTCTTGATAGGTAATAATAGGATATTTTTTGTATGCGCTTGGTGAGTCGATCAATAGTCATATCTCATATAGTGTGTTATATTGAGAGATGTGAGTTGTCTGGCAAGGAAAGTGACTTTGATGATTATACACTACCGATTAAGTGTTTATCTATCTTGGTTTGTGGTACATGAAATTTTTTTTAAATTATTCTACATTCATGTCTAAATATCTAAAAATGATAAATCTGATATGATATTCTCTGATAGACAAACTGATACGTAAATTTTACAATAACTTTTAATCTTGAGTTACGAAATGTAGTAACATATATTTTCTTATGACTGTTTAAATTGCAATGATATTGCAATGATGAAATAATAATATATATAATCAGTAAAGTTTACTTAATGCAATGTGTCAATAAGTATATTTAAAATTTAGCATAAATATATCGATATGAATATTCGTTTGCGATAAATTTACGTAAAGTTGACTACTCCTTTATTCTTATATATTATTAAATAGAAAATAGGTAAAATTGAGATATATAATTATAACAAATGTATTTTGCAACGTTATTATAATGAAAAGTTTAAGTTGCAGCGTTGCATAAATTTGTAATTTGTTTCAGATAAATCTATTTAATTTTTTATATAGATAATTTTCTCTATGAACATAAAGTTATCATAAATTGAACAAAAATTAATTACATGCTAGAAGTCTATCGAGATTCTGAAACACCATATTTCTTTTAAAGTTTTCACTGCACAAGATGTAATAGACCCAGCTACTTTTAACTATCAATATTTCCACAAAAAATGAACATTTTTATCATATATATTTTTTTAATTTAAATACCTAAATATCAGGAGTATGTCTATATTATTAATTATGACTAATGTTTTAAAAAAAAGATAATTTTTCAAAAAGGTCGAATAAAAATTTTACTAATCACAAAATGACTTGAAAATACTTTACTTGCAAATTTATAATTTTTTAAACGTCATATTGTATAAAACCAATTGCCATTTGTAAAAAATGAGGGATATAACTTTTTAGAAAGAAATATAGAACAATGATTTTAAAAAATATATATATTATTTTATTACGAAAAATTTTACACTAATTCCAACGATGTCTGCTACATCTACTGAATAACAAATAAGGTAGCACGGGCAGTTATAAAAGAAGAGGAAAACCAAACTTTTTTCCTCTCTAATCTCGACTCTCGCTACCATTCACTATATAGAAGCGGCGGGTGTTTCAACAACAGTATGTATGATACACTCAAGTGTAGTGTAACACTATACAATCGCATTGTATTTGTGAGTAAAGTGTTTCATAAGATGTATTGTAATATAATTATTTATATATTTTTATTAAATACTGTTTATTAAATACTCTTTTCTACTTT